TTTAAAACTTTAGCTATTACATAATCAATATCATCTATACTTAAATTTAAAATATTTGACGCATGCAAAAACTTAATCTGATCCATCAATTATTCACCGCCTATGCTATTAAAAAGTCTGAAAATCTTTTTGGCTCTTTCCTTCTTTTTCAAAGATTAGGCTCTGTAATTCTATCTTGATCGGGGATATGCTCTCTAATTTTATCATTAACTAAAGCATTAGATGCATCTTCATTATGTGATTGTCTATAAAAATTGTACCATAAACTATATCCTTTTCCAAAGTTATAATAATAGCGAATTATATCTTGATTAGTTTTTTGATTATTGTCTTTAGCACTGTTGATCTTTTTTGTTTAATTCGTGAAAATTAATTGAATCTTTATTCATTTTGAGAGTAACAAACTTCAAAGTAATAGTATTTTTTGAAAAAATTTGCTGAGTAGAATTAGTAGTTAACTCATTGATTAGTTTTTTCAGCATAGGAGAATAATCTCTATTAGTCATTTTTTTTGACTTTTTTATTAAGAGATTTTTTGGTTAAATAATTAACTCGCTTTTTACTGCTAAGATTGCGAGAGTTTTCGATTGGTATTTCTACTATTTCATTTGTACCTTCTATTTCATCTTATTGAATTACTTCTGACTTAATTTGAAGCTGAAAATATCTTCGTTCAGAGACTACAAGATCAATAACTTTATCACAACTAGAAAAAGGTTATTTATTTTCTTTTGTAAGTAAAAACTTTTTCTCGATACACTTTCTATGATAAATGTGCCCACATGCGAGTATCATAAATGATTCAAAGCTAGGTGCTAAAATTTTTTTATTACATTCTGGGCATGGTGCTAGTTCAGTAATATCAATATTTTGAACAATTGTATGACTGGTTACTTTTAAAATATTCAATGCGAAATGTTAGAGTTTAGTGATAGATATTAACGTTAAGTCTTTACAACTTAAGCTTATTTATATCAATTTAATTATAATTCTCATGATTAAGGGTAGATGATACGTCAATTATTTTTTATTTAACAGCTCAAAGCCACAGTTAACAAATCTAATTTTGAAATTACGTAATATATTTAATATTAATATGTACTGCATTTTACATACTATACGTATTTCATATGTATAATAATTATACATGGGTGTCTAAATTAATTTGCTCTTGGCGTAAATTTAAATGGTCTAAATCGTAAATAATTTAGATTGTCAAAAATAATTCAAATATATTTTGAATGTATAAAATATTTTTACTATTCTAAAATGTTTTTAAATAATTCTAAAAATGGATAATACTGAATATTAGAGATTAGAACCTTTTAACCGTATAAAAATTGTTTTTAAATTAACACGAATAAAATAAAATTGAATGTGTAAATATTTATAAACTTGGTTAGCTTATTTTAAATACATCGATTAATAACAATAACAATAAATATTTATTTATAAACCTAAATAGCTTATCTAAATTGACCAATCACAGGTGGCTAGTGGTCATTATGCGATTTCGGACAAATCATGCTTCGCATCGGTGATGCAGGGAGGCTTTTCATAAAACGTGCATTTAGGGAGGTTGCATTTAGAAAGCTCTGACTGTACCTGAATCAAATACAATTATATTTATATTTTGGCTTTCATTAGAACTATTGTATGAATTATTATTTACAAATATACTAAGACAAAGGCATCTGTATTGTCTTTAAAGGTTAGATTTTCACTTGCCAAATACCGAAGAAAGTTGTTATATTCTTTAGAAATAGTTTTCTCATTATAATTACCCCAAATTTTAGAAGCCAATTTTTTGATTTTTATCTTTGTATAATATTGCAAATATGATTACAGATTACTGTAACTAGCAAGAAAATTAATACAAAATAAATTTGTGCATTATTATATACATATGTAAGTACATATATTTGCTCATAAAAGTGATGGTATTTTACCACTCTCTCATTGTCCTTTTCTATCCTCTTCTAACATTATCATAGCACTTTTCCTTTCACTGATAACATATTCATATTCTTTATCTCTTTCTTATCATCTGATTTTTTTTTCCTTCTCTTATCATTTTTTCCTCCAAAATACTATTATAAATATGAATTCTTGTACTTTTAATTTGTTTTTAGTTATTCTGCTTTTTTGTATTTTTGCACAAATTATAACTATAGATGCTTGTCGTCATAAACCTTATCATTCCAAATGTTCAGAATGTTGTGAAGCTCCCGGTAGTGCTGGATGAACCAATTAAGTTCATTCTGGTGGTAACGTACAATTTACAAATGATACATCCACACAAAGTTGTTGTGAATCATGTGTTGCTGATCTGAGTTGTGTACAATAGGCCTTTCTTGCCGCTAGATGTCAACATTATATGTGTTTCACCAGTTTTGCCAACTTTTAATAAAAGTGGCATTATTCGTTGTGTGGGTGAAGGCTATTTGCATGCAGATTCTCAACTACAAACATCAGATTCTCATTCACCAACATCAGATAATAGCTATGGTTCTGGTTTTTGTGAATAATAATTCTTTTATTATAATTATATACATGTCATAGTATATAAATATCTTCAAAATAGAAATATTTGCATAGTGTTAGATTACAAGATTCCTTTCTTCATTCTTTTTATTATTTTAGATTTATATGTTATCATCAATAGTTGTCCGTTTTGTTCGGAAGATGTTTCCATTACGAAAAAATAAAACCAGTTCTTTAGTTTTTTAAAAAATTTGTACCGCTCACTCATTTTTGAGGATATCTTTAACCCAGAGATTGATTCCATGTGCCCATCATTCAAGAAAAATTTTATCTGGATACTCGACTCCTATAGCCCCCATGGCCGTAGGAGTCAATTTAGTTTGTATCCTGATAAAGTCTCATGTTCAATTAACAATAAAATAATGAGTTAGAAGCTGTTTTAATCTTACCGAATTACATATCGATATCAACATTAACATTATAGCACTGGAATACGAGAATATTTATTTTTAATATGTGTAATTCTCATCCCACAATCTTTTACGTAAAAAATTTAAATATTTTAAATTACAGATTCATTAAAAATATCCTTATATGTATATACTTAAAAATATGGTATTTGTGAAAATTTCTTCATGCAGACAAAATGTAAAATTTTTAATAAACAAAATTAGTAACTATATTTTACATGTTTCTTTTAATACATTTTTTCATAAATGAACTTGTTCAAATAAGGAAATAATTAAAACAATTTTATGCTATCTTTGCTGTGGTTATTTATATTACCTATTTTACAAAGCATTAAAATGAAACTTCAAGATAAGTATGATATGATTAATAATATTTTTCGTGTATATAGTGCTGATCTGTTACGTATATTTTTTAATTAAAATTTTTTCAGCATACAAATATGTGAAAAACTATAAATACTATGCAATAGGATTCCAAGAAAGTTGTAGTATAAATCACTGAGCAAATAGAAAATTTAAATTCACTAATTTTTATTAAGGTGTCTTTGGAGTATCTGGAAAATTATAATCATTATTGTTTTGTAACTCAGATATCTTTTTCTTTAAACGTTGCTTAAATTCTTCATTACTGATAATATTTATATTATTTGAATTGTTTGAACAATCCAAACACTGAATTATTTGAAGCTGGGTAATAATAAAATAAATAAGTAAACCATGAGTTATAATAATTAATAACTCGATAAAATATTTATTACTTTAGCAACGAGCATATCATGGACCATTTTAATCAAATCATCAATATTAGCAAGATCTGTTGATATCTTGTTAAAAGGATATCTAATAAGCTGACACATGTATCCAGATGGAATAGTTATCACAAGCGTTTGAAGATATTGGGCTTGTAATAAATAGTATTAATCAGCATATGCTATATATAGAATCATATTATATCAGAAGTATCTTACCAGAATGTAAAAATCTAATGATTTCTAATTGATTAGTCTTGACAAAACTAACACCATACTTGCTTATTTTTTGTTTTAACATATTACGCATTACTTTTGGCATTTTCAATGATCCATCAGATAAATATTTTGTGCCATCCTTTCTAGTCCAGTTTGGCCCTCTTCACTTACTGAAAATTCCTCAGGTGTTCCTAATTCCTGTGCAATTCCATCACACTTACGTCCATACAATGCTTTAGTTTTTGTGCTTTTTTTTCCGTTATTCTTCCTTTATCTTGATGCTTGAGAACACCCTTCTCCTCTATAAAATAAATTTGTATAATAGCAATGGATTTAGGAAAAAAAAGACTTAATCCAAACAATAACAGCACCATTTACCGAATAAATTCAATGTTTTCAACATCAATTAGACAAGAATCAACAATTACACTCCAAACATTGGTTTTGTACCATCCTTCCAGATGAGACCTCGTAAAGTCTTTAAATCTTAGTTCATATCTAGGAAGGCTAGCAATAACCGAAATCATGAGATAAAAGATATCACTGGTATACAACTAATTACTCACAGTTGCAAAAATACTTGATGAACATAATGATAGTTGAAATGTTTTTTAGGAATATAGGGTGAGATGTTGACTCCAGCATTTACTATTTCTCACATTTCTTGAAGACAATCCTAAAGGATATAAGAAAGAAGTTTTAATTTGCATGCATATCTCGTTATGTTTGAGAATTAAAAAAAATCACTTTTCTGTATCTTAGAAGGAAATTAGTCAATTCATCTGGTACTTCAGGATCAGCTAGAACATTAAAACTTGCAATATGTCTTTGGTCATCTTCACTAAAAAGATTCATAATTGTCTTATTTTTAGTATCGATGATAAAACTATGAAGTAAGCTGGCAGAACACAATTTTGCATAGTCAATTCATAATTATTTCAACAACTCTATGAAGAATATTTCAAATAATCTTAGACATTAACCTTTCATATGGTAAATTCTTAGCATACTCATATAATACATCTTCTACAAACTTATTTGAAGGTAATTTCCATTTTTTATCAGAACGCATCTTTAGATAATTTGATTTAAAGTTTTGTTTCACTTCATTGATCGCTTCATTGTTTTCCTTTTTGTAGAAAAGTTAGAATCTCAAATGATTAAACAGAATTCAGAAGAGAATTACTATACCTTGTCATTATCATCTATTGTCTTAAGCTCTTCCAATTTTATAATTGTTTCATCACCATAGTCAAAATACTCTACAAAAATTTTTATTATTAAAATAAGAAAAGTATCCAATAAAATACTTCAACAACTACTATACTACTATACCTTTGCTATCATTATCTCCCTTTTTGTTTAAATTATCATCATTTTTTTTATTATTGCTTTTAGCCATAGCATGTAACCTTTTGACTGGCCTCTCAAGCTCACTAATAAAATCATCAGTTTGTTGTATGTATGCTTCGTCAAACACATTCAATGCTGTAATTTGACTTTTGCATTTGGAAACAGCCTTTTAAGAACAGACAAATTAAAATACTACATCAATTTATTCACATTAACAATAATTGACATGCCTTTTTAGGTATCAATTGTTCATCAAGATTAATTAATTCCATGAGTTTTTTCACCGAAGTTGAATTTTTCTAAGGATAAAAGGAAATATAAAGTTTGTGTTTTGTGTCGTAACTTAAAAAGCAACCTAGATCTATGTCACACGAGGAACGTCACCCATACTCAATGAAGGAATGTCACCCTCCTTGAGCTGCGCGACAACAGGAGCCACGACAAGGAACATCACCCATACCTTAAGGAGGAATGTCACCCCCCAAAGCTGTGTGAATTCCTGGTCCAAATAAAAGAGAATAGAAAAAACAATGACCTGTTGTATGAGAAAAGTCGCCATACTTCGTCGCTGCTCATCTTTGTCATTATCTTGAATGTTTTTTAGTAATAATGTATATCTCTTCTTCATAACAGAGATCAAATCATCAGACAGACTAGCGGTAGACCAGAAAGCTTTCACTGCCAACAGAAAGCCAGAAAACGACCATGCAAAGTGAGATGTCTCTTCAAAGTAGGAGATTGCCACTGAGTCTTAATAT